CCGTTTTGCGGGGTTTCGCTCAGGCGACCCTTACACACAGGTTCGCCCACACCGTCTGCTTACCGCATCGCCGTCGTCCTGCTCCTGATTGGACGGGTGGTGTCTCACGTGACTGCCGACGACGAATCGGGCGAGTCGCTCGTCCTCGACCGGGTCCACCTGGTCGCGCACGACGCAGATGATGTCGAAGCGAGACAGGATCGGCTCCGAGAGGTCAACCTGCGGGGTGAAGGTCAGGTCACGTGGCCATCAGTTTAAGGCACGATCGATGCTGTGCGGTGACTTTAAATTATGTTCATGAAATACGCGAATTTTTTGCACTGGCACAGAGGGCTGGTAACAGCAATTTTTTACCAGCCCTCACAAATTTTGTTTGAAAATCAATGTCAAGTTTCACGCTTGCATTCTCCATGTTCTCTATTTCAAATTTGTAAAATATTGATAAATTATGGTGTGATATCCTTCAGGTAAAACAGTAATGTAGGTTATTTGCTCATTAATGGTATAAATAATGAAAGTGTCAATGACACTGTAGCTCACCTTGGGTGTGATAGAAGTTGGAAGGGGGATATATAAAGCAAGAGTATATATGGGAGTAACTCCCATTATATACTCATGATATATGCATGTTTTGATGCGAAAATAAATGTTTCAGATCTGAAAATCTGAAATCTTGATGAGAGATGGCGCTACGCCTAAATGATCGCCATTTTGGTTTTCATACGAAATAAATGTAATAGGACGTTGTCATCCATAGGAGTAACAACTGTTTTGGGGCTAGCCTTACACATTCATATACCAAAATTTAACAAAATCGATTGAATCTAGATGGCCATTTTCATTTTTGCCAAAAAGTGGGCGTGGCTCAAAAGTAGATAAAACTGGCGTGCACCAAAATAGGACGTTCAAATCTCTCCCATAGGAGAAACAACTGTATGCAATTTGAAACATGTGGGTCAAACGGTTCTTGAGTTATCGTTGACCGTAGCCAAATGTTGACGGACGGACGGACGAACGTACGAAGGATGACACCCCATGGCAATAGCTCATCTTGACGATGTCAAGGAGAGCTAACAAGTGCCGCAGTGCAACAGGGCTCATCTGGTGTCTGGTGTTCTGCTGATAAACTCATTTGTGCATAGCAAGACGTCTTATACATGATGTCTTTTTTATTCTTGTTTGAGGATTGTAGGCCATTCGAACAAATATATCCAGCTACACTTTCGCAGCGCCATGCTAATCTGCTATGCAGTTGCAGACACAATGTGCATTGCAGGTTGGCAGGCAACAATTTATGATTAGAAGCGTGCCAGCATATGGGCTGGCCCCATGTTCCTGATGTGCCTAGCACCAGCAAGCATTCACGTAGTGATTCAGCGCGGTGCACAAGGGTGCTTAGACAGACGATTTAGAACATTAATATGATTTAAGGAAGCATAACGCTTTTCTTCAACGAAACATTTGCCTTGCATTCAAACTGTGGAACTGTACGCCTCAACATTCACACAGTATGGGCTCCTAATAATAAGCAAAAGCAGTTCAGCTCGCGGGTTGTTACTAAGTCCCACAAATCAATGTTTAACCCTCCTCTTGCAGGGTCAAAAGTTATCCGATACTTCTCTTCGGCCATGTCCAGGGAAAGTACATTTCATGCGTCCTTTCCAATAAGAGCCATCCACAAAATTGGTAAAGGTCACCGCGTGAAACAGGCAAAAAAGTTTTTCAATCGCGTCGGTCAGGAGCGCCGTCGGACCATGTCCTCAGGAAAATGTTTAAAATCTGGCCCTGTGCCCATTGACGATTGACAGATTGCGCGCGTCACGCTGTGAGCCTCCAATTTCAGCACTGTGATGGCTTTTCCTACCATGATGCTTATACGCGCGACTATCACGAGCCTAGAGGCAAGCCGTTTAGAATTGTGCCGCGGCAATTCTGCAGTTTCCTCCACTATACTTTAAGTTAAGGAGTAAATGTTCCCCCTTCTTTTACACCGTCTCTGAGCGCTTTGACCGCCAGCTTCGACATCCCAACTCGTTCTCGGAGTTACCGCCCCCCCCACGTCCCGACTTTTGAATCTGTATGCGTACGAGCCGTTTAGATTTGTGCCCGCAAGCTGTTGACGGAACGCACGCGCACGGATGCACGGGGACAAGACGGGGACGGACAATGCATCGCGAATCTAACAAGCTGCATCCTGAGCTGTCGTCAGATGAGGCTAAAAATGTAATACTCGCTACTGACGGCTGGAGAACCACCGGCTCGGAGGGCTGGTTGTTTCCATGTCTGGCCGCTCGAATACATTTGGCCGCGACATATTTACCAGCGGCGCTTTGTAATACACAGCATAGTATATATTGGTATAAGCAGATGTTATAGGTGTAAAAGGCGAGTTTTTATTTATATCTCACTAAGCACACTCTTGTGAATGTTCGCAGGTGTGTCAAGTCTTCTGTTGTGTCTTCCCTAGTTAATTCCTATTCTAGACTCCTCCCCTCTTACCTCTTTCTCCTGTTCTTCACCTTCTCCGACCCTGTCTTTTCAATGCACAATCGTCCAACGCAGTAATATCAAGAAGCTTAACTTAAAGACCAGAAGGGCAACTCGAACAGAGAGTGGCATACCTCCGCAGAGCGTTAACATGTATAATGTGTATAAACAGCTGGCTCGCTGCTGGCTGCCTGCTGACTGGGAGACGTCTAAGGTGAGCTGCGTGCTGCGACTTCGGACGGCCTACAGGCGAGGCTGGTGCTGAGATGCGATCGGCGCCAGGACACGGCGTGTAACATGGTATACATGTGTTATAAACAGCTGGCTCGCTGCCTGGCGTACACAACGACCAATACGAAGCACACAGACGAACACACACACAACGAGAGCGAGATTACATTAGCCTCCCTAGCAACTCCGTTTGCGGCGGGGTGAAAATACCTGAGAGTGACAACGGAAAAGACGGAAAATTGTGCCTATTTCAGGCGAACAACCAATTATTCTACTTTGCTGCGAGTCCTATTTTTAATTAATTTTATGGTATTGGGCATTAAGCAGAATTCTTTGATGCTCTAAACAAGACCAACCAACGCGGCTTGTCAATCACGAGTACCTCCTAGGCTGAGATATTGCGCTCCTAAACCTCGTCCGCTCCCTCACATCCTCAACGCCAACCGTCGGCATACCCTGTTATTCCAGCTACCGGTCAAAGCCCGCTAAGCTTGCTCTTCGTGAAAGTTCGGTGTTTTCCGCGATAACTTTATGAATGAACGGGCGTTTCGGTTAGCATAGTGACTCTTCGGGGGCATCCGCCTAATGCCCTTATCTCCCATTATGCTTCTAAGCACGGCTAATGCGCCGCGTCATGATGGAGCTGCAATGTTTCTAAATTAAGTCTCTTACAACGCAGCTGCAGTATAAGGGTGGCTGTAGTCAAGAGCTATCCAAATTTGGGCATCAGTGACATGCAATTATCAGCGGCTCCAAGCGCTGACGGAAACCGATAGCCAAATGCTTAAGGGGCGTTGAAGGTAGCTGAATTAACGCGGGATGCGAGGCGGCGTGAGGCATGTGGAGGGGAGGTTTAGGAGGCCAACATACTCAGCCCTAGAGTATCGTATTGAAGCAAGCGTTGGTCTGTGTTTTAGAGAGCAAACGAATTCTGGCTTAGGAGTGCAATACCATAAAATTATTCATAGACTCGCGCTAGCAAAGTAGAATAAGTGTTGTCAGTGAATAGCACCATTTTCCCTTTGTTTCTCGTTGTAGCACTCTAGGTATTATTGAGGCTCTTGAGTAATATGCAAATATCCTCTGCATCAACGTTTGGGTTCTACGGCCGAAAAAGACAAATGCGGCGTTTTCTTGCGATAAGCTTACGTTTTCCGAAAAGGTCAGCGAGGCGTCGTATCGTCCCGCCGAGCGGGTTGGCTGCGGCGATGACGGCGCAGCGCGCCTGCAGCGACGTCACAATGCCAGCCTTAGAGATCGAGATGCTCTGTTGTTCCATCGCCTCGTGTATGCTCGTCCTGTCCGCGTCGTTCATCTGAAGCGAGAGACGTGACCTTTGGGTGACCCCAACAACCTTGCGATTGTCCTACTAAACGACCTTCCAGGTAACCCCAACGACCTTGCGATTGTCCTAACGACCTTTAGATCACCCCAACGACTTTGCAATCACCCCGACAACCTTGGGATCACCCTGACGCATTTCACGTCATTCTAACAACAACCTTCCAATCACCCAAAACACGTTTAGCCAGGCAACCTTCAAATTATGCCGACGACCTTCAAACTGTCTGAACGACCTACAAAACCACACAACCACCTCAAATCTCCCGTCCCCGAAAAACAAAAATGCCGGTCGTGTCAGCGAACTGCATTCTGCACACCGAGCGGGCAACGTACGCGACCTGAGCGCTCCGTCGCGTCCACGCGGATGGCGGCCAGCCTAGGCACGCACGCACCTTGTCGAACTCGTCGATGAGGCAGACGCCCTTGTCAGCGAGCACGAGGGCGCCTGCCTCCAGCGTCCACTCCTTCGTCACCGGTGGCGCTGCACGTACGCGTGAGGGCCGACGGCGAGGCGCCCTGGCCCGTCGTGAAGATGGCGCGCGGCGCGGTCTTCTCCGTGTACTTGAGGAACTGAGACTTGGCCGTTCCCGGGTCGCCACACATCAGCATGTTGATGTCCCCACGCAGCTTGTGCTTGCCACCTGGGTGAGGGTAGATGGGGGGTTAAAGGTCATTATGTATAGGTCATTAAGTAGAGGATATTACGTAGAGGTCGTTATGTAGAGGTCGTTACGTAGATGTCGTTACATAAGAGGGCGTGGCTAAGCATGATGCTAGTATACGTATTAAACATGAATTAGATAAGAAACACTTGTGCTTGCGAGGAACCACCTGAAGCCCAGGGCGGGGGGGGGGGTTGTCCAGGTTCGTTATGGTAGAGGGGTCGTTACCCACATTTCAACGAGGGACGCTACACAGTCCATCTGTGGCCACGGGAC